TGATGAAGAGGCTGACGATTGCGATGTTGATGACGGTGCAGAGAGTGTTGGTAATGACGAGAGGATGCCAGCAACAAACTCAGAGAACAGAGTGGTAGGTTTTTACAGCTTACTTCAGGTACAAGCACGTCAAAATGGACCTTAAAGCAACTGTGAGATCTTTGTAACATGTTGTGAGACACAAAGCAACACAACAATACTAACAATCAAAGCGGCTATATATAAAGAGTTTCTATATGTGTATACGTTGAATTACTATTTCTGACATGATCCATAATTGTTTCAGAAATTTTCAGTTCAGATTGTTAAAACTCACTTTCTCTCTCGTAGGAGCTCTCTCTGTCCCAGCAGCATGAAACTCCCGCCAAACCTCAGCCCAGAATTCCCATCCTCCTTCATCTAAGAAGTCCTGTCAACCTCCAGCCCAAAACTCCCATGATCTTCCAGAATAAGACGAATAACACCAGCTTTGTGGCCAAAGTCTGGACTATCAATACAGCGACTCCTCCTCAGCCTGAAGCTCAGATGGAAACAAACAGCTCTGACATTCATCCTGAAAACCTGAACTGTGTCCAGGTTCCATCAGAGGTAAAGACACAACTTCAGGACCAGAACAGAACAAGAAGTTCTCAAGGCAGCGGCAGAACGCGGTACGTCCAGGTTCATGTCATATCTAAAGCACGTGATCCAGCAGCAGCAGCAGCAACAAATCCTCCTGAAGCCACAAGCAAGCCAAGTCAAAGCAGTAGGCTAAAGACAAAGTCCAAGTCTCAAATATTGACAGAAATTTGTGGTGGTGTCCAGAGGGCGGAGAAGAGGAAGAAAGACCTTGCTGGAGGTTCTTCAGCTAAGAGGAGCTCCAGCTGTGGTCTTGAGCCTGTGAAGGCCTTGAGCACCAAACCCTGGCCCGTCTTCACCGTCTCTGGTTCTGCTCCGACGCAGGCAGCCAGACTCTCTCCTGAGGTGGACAGGTATGACACCAAGTACCACCTAAACACATTCCTTTGCAGCTTTGTTAGTAGCAGTGTTATTGCATGTTTTTTAACTACTGTTCATTTGTGTGTTTGCAGCCCCGCTACTGTTCGGAGGCCGAGGAGACTTCAGGCTCGGACGGTCATCCAGCAGTGCAGTCAGGCGAAGGTTAAGATCAGACCAGCCCTGGACGGGGCCGACGCTCAGTGGGCAGAGGTGAGTTGTTGTTTTTTTTTCTATTCAGTTTTTTTGTTAAGTTATGTAAATGTGTTCTAAAAGACGAACACTGGATGTGAGATTTTACATTTGTAGAAGGCTAGGATTGCAATTTGTGCTTCGACTGTTTGTTGGCAACATGTCTTAAAGATTACAGGATAGATTTCCATGAACAACTTTTTGTTTAGTTCCTCTTGGTATTCTTTCAAGTTTTTCTATCCTGGAAATTAGCTGTAATGTGCATTGCCTTCCCAAGTTAAGCCAGGAATACACTTTATGATTTCAGGACGATTTTCGCCTGATTTTGATTTGCCCAGCTGATTTTATAATCAGACTGAATTTCAACCCAATCGCGTTTCATACATCTTGCAGTGTGGCATGAAGAACTTCTGGCATGTTAGAAATTTGGTCTTAGAGGAGGGACACTCATTGAGAGCAAAGCCATGAGATGACTTGAGGTCGTTTTTTTCCTGATTTTGCAAACTGGCAGACAGTGTCCAACATGGACGACAGCACCATGGCAGCAGCTTGATGTTCCCTCCCCCTCCCATCAAGAATGAGAGTGGGCGTTTCCAATCAAACTTTATTGACAATTGTCAATGCTCTGTCTTGATTCAACTCGTAAAGAATGAGCACTCAGGTCCTGCTTGAAAAGTGTGAGCACATAAATTGTGAGCTGTAGTCGTAAATGATTCATTTATAGAGTGTGAGAGGACGTTTCTCACAGTGTTTCTACAGTTAACATAAAAAGTGGATTTTCACTCTGTTCTCAGATCCAGGACGGGATGGTTGTGTATGTGAGCTTCTTCCAGGGAGCCACTGAGGACGTCACTCATGAAATGGGTAAAATGATTGTTTTCTATATTCCCCAAATTACGTTATTTAATTTTGTGAAGTGAAATAAGAAGAATTGCTTGCAGTGCAGCAGGAGATGTATTTTATTATTTTTATGGACTTGACTAATAAGGAGCTGAGAAAAATAAATGGTGAACATTTGTAATGAGTCTGGAGCAAAACCTATAGACGATGATTATGTTATTTCATTGTTTGTCCTTGATAAGAGATTATTTTTCCAATATCAGTGTAAAAAAAACAAAAACATTGCAATTAGAAATATACAATCTGCCTGAGGACTTTAGGTCAGCTAAGGCAGGGTTCTTTTCTAAACCTCTTTTGAAAACAAACTTTTATCGGTGAGTCTTTCTTGATTTTATTAGATTTATCTTCTCTGTGTTTGTCCTGTCTGGCTGGAGTGGATTGTTAATGCCTGTTTATAGATTGTTTTTTCTCAACTTTTTGTTGTTATTGTTTAAAAGGAAAACAGAGAAATATTTTAGCAGGTTGTGAAGAAGTACTTTATGTTTTGAATACAACTCTAATAATGTACCTACTGTTAATTAGTTTATACTTTAAACTCCTTTACAATAATAGTTTCTTTTGATTTTATGACTTGTCTGTTTTCTGTATTCTTGCCTTTTTGAAGGACTTTGGTTTTTGAAGAGCTTTCTATAACAGAGCTCTGGAAGTAAAGGTTACGATATTTTTTATTATAGTGGTAGTAGATATTTCTGAACTTGATTTTTATTTTCTAATTGCTACATACACAAGCTTGAAATATACGCATGCACAAAGAGGATCCTATGGACGTGCATTACTGCAGAGATGTCAGAGTGAGGGGGCTGCACACAGGGGGCGCCATGACAAGATGGTAATTTCGGGGAACTTTCTCAAGGGAAGTGAACTGGCAACCTCTCCAGCCACCAGAGCAATTTCTTAACTTTAGTCCGTACTGAGACTTGAGCCTGCAACCCTCCAGTTTCTAATTCAAGTCCCTACAGACTGAGCTACTGTCACTCCTAAATGCTTACAGGTTTAATGGATGTTATCTGAACTTTATTTTTGTTTTCGCACACCACTACCATATCCGTATTTCTAATCATGAATTGTAATTGTTATGATTCTTCATCTTATCTTTAAGGGAGTTTTGCAGTCTTACAGTGAAGACAACATTCAAAGCACTAATACCCAAACCATGTTATCCATCAATATTAATCTGCCTCTCTTTTCTGTCGTCGCCTCCACAGCGAGAACTCTGATGACCACAAAAATTTTCCGAAAAGACACGAGACACTTGGTTTCCATTCTCGACCTTCCAGGGAGCGTATTATTCGTCCCTCAGGACTCTCTGGTCGGAGAGCCGGCGAGCGCTAAGAGACGGATGCAGTACAAAGGTGGGTGTGAGCCGTGGTGGGGCGCCCAGCTCTTCTCAACCCTGGTGTCCGCCTGCAGAGAGCTCATGTTGGGCTCAGTGAAGTGCACGAAGGCCGGCGTTCAGCTGGAGCAGGGAGTCTACGGACAGAAACAAGAGATCGTCCTGAACTCTCTGGAGCCGCTGACGGTCCTGCTCGAGTTTTGAGGTCAACATGAACAGGACTTGTCTTGAGAAGTTCTTGAGAACACTTTCTGAACATTTTCCAAGTCGGTTGTCTGGTTCATGAAACTTCTACAAAAAAAAACAACTTTCAGCCAGGAGGAAACACACCAAAAGTAACGTTGATGTTATTTGTGTTAGCTGTTGTCTGATAAGTCAAAGGCCTTAAGCAGAGGTGGAGAAGTCTGTCTCCTTCTCTCAAAAGGTTTTTTTTACGCTGGTAAAGAAGCCGACAACAGAGCCAAACTTTGACTTTAATGTCTGCAAACAACTTGAAAATCCATCGCTCCTCATCGGCATTAAGATAAAACGGTAAATCCCTGTTTTGTGAATGAAGTGATGCACAAGCTGAATTTGTGCCCCTGGTTCCTCCAAACAAACAACAGCTTTATTACCCGAGTTAACAAAACACTATTGGTCCCTAGAAAAAGTTCCTGCAGTACAAACACCTTATTGGAGCGTTTTGTGCTTTATTTCTCTTCTTAATGACATGAAGTCATTTTTTCTGTTGTAAGTCAACATGGTGCTGTTTATGAAAATGGTTTCCTCTTGTGTCCCGTTACAGCAGATTGTTTTGTTCTCTTAAGAAGAAAAAGACACTTCCAACGTAACAGCATGAATGTGTTCATGAGTGCTTCCAATATTTGTACCAAAAGAATCAAATATTGAAGAGGATGTCATCTTTTGTTTATATTGTTTATACTGTATAGTTGAGGGTGAAATAAAGCTCAATATTAATACTATAGTTCTCTCAGAATTAATGTGTACATTAACATGAATCAAGTTATTCTCACTGCAGGGCTGCATGGTGCTGCAGTGGGTAGCGCTGTTGCTTGAAAACGAGGAGTTTGGTTCAAAACAGGAGCCTCTCTTTGTGGAGTTTGCATGTTTTCTCCCCGTGCATGAGTGGGTTCTCTCTGGGTCTGTCTTCCTCCAACAGTCCAAAGACCTATACTCTTTAGGTTAATTGGTGACTCTAAATTGCCCAAAAGTATGACTGTGAGTGTGGCTGGTTGTCTGTCTCTATATGTCAGCCCTGTGATTGACTGGCAAACAGTCCAGAGTGTAACCCCGCCTCTTACACTATGACAGCTGGAATCGTCTCCAGCCCCCCGCGACCTCAAACGGGATTGATAATGGATGGATCAGAGTTATTCACACCAGCGTGATTCACTTATAAACAAATCAAAACCCTTAAAAAAAAGCCTTTTAGGGGAGCCAGATAGCCTGACACTTAGATCAAGCCCCCCCCCCACCCCACCCCACGTACAGAGGCTGTAGTCCCCGGAATTATTTGCACCTTATTCAACATTTGAAGAGACATTAAATGTGTTCAGTTGTCCATCGATCACTGATCTATAAATATGTAAAGACTTCGAGACTTGATCCTTCACTTTTATTTGAGTGAAGAAAATAAAAAAACAACTGGAAGAATTTTCTTTAATTCCGTTTCTCTCAGTTATTGTTGAACAATCAGTGTTTATAATACACTAAATATTCACTTCGAGCCACACTATGAAACCACTTGTTCTTTTACATAATTCCATAATTCATTGCCATTTCATTCCCAATCTATTTTTTACTACTTTAGTGTATTAGTGAATTACTTGGAGGGGAAAGTTGCATGTTCCACACCACACAGAAACTTTCAGAGCTCATATTGTCACATTCAGTCACAGATTGAAACTATAAAGTAACATTTTCTTTTGGAATAATTACATGATATCATTCCTAACAGAGAATATAATACATAGTGTCCCTCCCTGTATTGTTGAGGAGAGCTGCAGCTAAAAAAGATCTAGCAGGAAAGTAAGTGAGACTTCCTCTAGACTGACTGAGGTTCTTACTGGTTTATATTTAACATATCAGAATAACAATGAGCCTTCATCAAAGACAGCTTGAAATTAGAGATGCACATTCATTTCTTTGATTCTTTATGGCCCTGTTCGCCAGATAATACTGCTGCTCCATGTCAGTAAAAAAAAAAACATGATTAACCCTTTATGTCATCAGTGCTGTCATGTCAGACTTCCTTTACAACCTCAATTCATTTCAGTCTTTTCTCTGATTTTAAGCTAATATAAATGACACTCAACACTCAAAAATTTTAAGATTAAAAAAAAAAAAAAAAAATCCTTCTAGTTCTCCTATCGTCCCCTCTTCAGTCAACCTCACACAAACAGTCACACTGTCGTAGGAGGTCTCTCTGGGGCACCTTGGTGACGACGGTGATCCTGTTATTGGCCAGCTGTTGGAGCTGATTGATGATCTCCTGCACACCCGGGCTGGGCCACGAGGGACCGTTTGTGTAATCTCTGAAGATAAACGAGCGATCCACCAGCAGCTCCAGGCGCTCCAGGTGTCTCAGCTTGTGGAGACACAGCAGTTCCTTCTCTGGTTCTTTACGGTGAAACCTGAGCGGAAAGAGACGAAGACGGGTAAAACTTTGACTGCAGCAGGAAACGGACACATCAGGAGCAGATTTACATTCGAGCAAAAATGATCAGCGTTGTTCAAATGAAATCGAAAAATGATCTAAACCCAATGTCCGGAAAATAATGAAACACGACGAAGAAGAGCACTGAGGATTCAGAGGACATGAGAGCACGATCAAAAAAAAAAAGACTGCAGACAACTAAACTGCTCTCCTGTGTGTCTCACCGTATCCTGAGCGACTTGAGCTGCGGGAACAACATGGGGATCCGTCTGCAGAGGTTGCCGGTGGAGCGGTTCTGCTCGATGTCGAGGTGCTTGAGTCCCGGGACAGCAGGCGCGATCAAGTCCATGTCTTTCAGAGTTATAGCCACACGCAGCGTCAGCCTCTTCACGGAGGATGGGATGGTGGTAGTGTAGGAAGCGAGAGTGTTACCACCTGGAGAAACACAAGACATCATAAACATGTTTACCCATGTGGAGGATCAAACAGTTTAGTCAAGAAACATCGCCACACCATGTAATATGCATCAAATATTTCAGGTGGGTAAAAGAGTTCACTGATCAACGCCAATGACTCTAAAACAGGGGTGTCCAAAGTGCGGCCCGAGGGCCATTTGCGGCCCTTGAGGGGATTTATTTCGGCCCGTGATTTCAAATGAAGAATCAGAAGATTTTGGCCCGGGGCCTCGATTAAGATTGGCACATTATCTTATTTTTATTTTTATTGTTAACAAGGGCTGAACAATATTCTTAAAATACAAAATGTTCAGTAACATGTATGTCTTTTTTTTTTTTTTTTTTTTAAATCTACAGCTTTTACTATTTTCCGCCTTTTTTTTGTTAACTATGAAAAAAAACGTATGCAAAGTTTTTGCAAACAAGCGGACTGTTGTTTAACCATTTAATGACCCGAGCTAAATGCAGAAAGCTTTTCCAAAAACACGAACCACGTTACAGGCTTGATTCTGAGAAAAAAACAAATAAAGTAGAACGAAGAAATCAAAATATTTGATTTCCTTTTATTGAAGGGTTTCTTTAGCGAGCCTTTTGATTCTGATCTACAAAGACTTACTATTTTTTCAACTATATTTTAAAAAACAAAACCTGTGGCCCGCGAGCGATTCTAACACGACAATTTTGGCCCGTAAGAAAAAAAGTTTGGACACCAATGCTCTAAAATGTACACAAATATTTGAATCCAAAACTTCCTGAAACTTGGATTATCAAAGGAAGAATGTGCAACCTTTTATACATAAATACAGCAGAAATCAATTATATGGAAATATCTCTCTGAGTCATGACTATCTACACGCGCGAGTCCCACCAGCTGTACTGTTGTGAGAGCCGTGTTAACATCGTGTTTACATGGACGGGACGGCCTGTGTATAGAGCTGTTTTAGTCAAGGATTAGAGAAAAGAAGAATAACAAAGCCCACTTCTCTGCTTATTGGGATGTCAGGTAAGTGCCTTTAGATCATTCTGTGTCACTTTATGTACAATATGAAGCTGTGTTAATCAAACTGTGCTAACATTAACTTGCTAACACAACAATGCAGACTTTCAACACATCCACATAATCGTCTGTTTGACTGAAACTTCTCTTTTCACTTTATTATTATTATTATTTTTTTTTACAGATTCAACAAATAAAGAAAATGTGTGAATTACAGGTGTTGGCAATCTAAAAAAAGAAAAAGAAGAAGAGCCTTTAAGAGGCTGACTAACCCACGATGGTGAGCGTCTCCAGCTGCTGGAGAGGACTCAGCCAGGACCTGAGGCGACACCTGACGCCCTCCCTCATGAAACTGTAGCGGACCATCAGCGACCTGAGCGAGGTCAGGCTCCTCAGGGCGTTCTCTGCAAGGATGGGTTCTGGGTAATCCAGCAGCTCCAGACTCGTCAGCGCCGGGCCGCCATACTTTCCTGCGGGAGAGAGAGAGAGCAGGAGGAAGGAGTCTGTGATATATTTGCTGTTGTTTATGTCGCTCGTCGCTGTTAGTCAAAGCACTTTGTAAACCTGCGTTTTTAAAAAGGTGCTATATAAATAAAGCTATTCTTATTATGTCACCTTTTCTATCTTTCCACATTCAACAGACTTTTATGTTAATAAGTGTATTTACACCTTTGGGGAAATCAGATTAAACCCAAGCTAGATAGGGGGCTTTAAGTAAACTAACATTATGGCTGAGGAACAAGGACAACTGTGAGAGTTATATCCTGTTAAAACATATCAGCACTTCTCTATACATTTATCTTGGATTAGGGAAACTTGTCATAGGCCTGCTGTTTGAAACATGCATTTAAATATACCGCACATTAAATCCTCATGGGTCATATTAAAAGACCTTTTGAAGACACAAAGAGACAATCAGAGTCCTGATCAAAAGAGCAGGCGGACAGACAATCCGGACAGGTGAGCAGGTGCCAGGCTGACCTGGCTGTTCTGGGTCCGCGGGGCTGAAGAAGTCATCGGGCAGAGGCTGCGGCGGCTCCCCCTTCATCCCCCAGGACAGGTGCCTCAGCTTCTTCAGGTTGAGCAGCAGGTGATTGAACACGTCGCAGGGCACCGGCCTCACCCTGTCCGGCCAGTAGCTCTCCCCCTGCTGATGAAAGACCAGGTATCGCAAGTTAACCAGGTGCGCCACGGTGCTTACAAAATGCACCGTGCAGGGCAGCCGGACGTTACACACGCTCAGGTGAGTCAGTCGCTCCCGCAGGTGCTCGCTCAAGCTCTGGCCCAGCATGCCTTGGTCCCACGTTGCGTTGCGCACCCCGAGGTCCCGCAGATCGGGGAAACGCGACAGGTTGTCCAGGTACTTCTCCTTGTACAGCCGTCCTCCGTCCTCCACGAAAACGACGGCGGTGATGGAGGGCAGGAAGGTGACGAGCCGCCGCCACTCTTTGCGCCGCAGACGTCGCACCGCGACCCGGGTGAGCCTCCGGTGGTTCAGGGTGTCCCAAAAGCCGTAGGTGTAGCGGCGGAGGTCCGACAGAACCACCGTGTAGTCCCTCCACAGCGAATGGTGGTCGACGACCCTCTTCATGAACCTGCAACAGGTGCGGACCGTGTGCTTCTCCTCCGTGGACAGGTAGCTGAATATGTAGACCCAGATTTCAGGAGGAAGCCGCTCCAGCTGCTCCATCAGAAGACTCACCGTGCGCGGGTCAAAGTGAGAGCTTCAGCGGGGTGAGTCGCTCTTTAAGACGGACAGCTCGAGTTGTACCTACATGGTGTACTTTAAACCGAGACAGCTTTTGTGACTGCCATTGTTATTTAGTGCAATTTCAAGCATTACGAGCGCACGCATTGCGCACCGTAGATTTGTTTTGGTTTTGTTTGTTTTTTTAAAGCGTCGCGCTGTGATGACGTGATAAAAAGCTTTTTTTTTTTTTTTTTTTGGAATCGTCTAGAAAATAAAATAAAATTGATAAACATTTAAGTTTTATTTGGAAGAATGTATTGTTTGATCTCGTGGGAAATAGTACACAGTTCTATTGATTTTATTGGTTGAATTTACATTATGAACAGAATATTACATTATTATTTACAGTCTATTATTCAAACAGTAGACAGAATATTACATTATTATTTACAGTCTATTATTCAAACAGTAGACAGAATATTACATTATTATTTACAGTCTATTATTCAAACAGTAGACAGAATATTACATTATTATTTACAGTCTATTATTCAAACAATAGACAGAATATTACATTATTATTTGGTTAATACAGTATCTATGGTTCACACAATAGGCTACATGAATTGAATTTATTACTCTGAAAAACGGAAGGCAATAGAAACCATTACAGCTTCTTGTACCAAACGTTTAATATCTTTACATGAGTCCAAAATCCCCTGTCGTAACGTTTACATTCATTTGTTTACATGATTTGCATGATATTGTCTCTTTGTATACAGAAGAATTCTGAATGCTACCTATTGTTGTGAATAAAGGGAAAAATCTAGGACATAAAATACATTTATCCATTTGTGACATTTTTATCAAATATACTTAAACTACTAAAATGACACTACACTGTAGTGATGCCCAAAAGCAAGTCTTCACAAAACAAATGACAACTTTCCATCAGAGTTGCAATGTTTCAATATAATTCTTAATAGTTATTTTATTCATGTAATAAATTCCTTTATATTCATTTCTCAATTAATTACAAGGGGTGCAGTTAAAAGGTTTAGCATATGCAAGAATATTGACAATCAGCCAATAGCCTACTGTCTTAATGTGAAATATTACTAATCTGCAGTTTTACACCTCTCCAGTTTAATTCTCTTCAAGCTCTGCACCTAAAACTAAACCGATTTAGTTCTCTTGTTCTTCTTTGATTATATTTTACTGAAGTAAACACAGGGAACCCACAGCTAAAAATAACCCTGAGTCTCACTTATGTTGAAGTTAAAGAATTACAAGAGTACTCATTACACAGAACTCTTCCTTCAGTACCATTCACATTATATTTCAGCATTATAACTTCTGAAATATTGCTTTTTTCATTACTTTAAATACAGCCTGATTGATGGATATCTACATGTATAATGATATTTGGTAATGTATTAGTTAATTGTATTTTGTTTCAATAATCTTAATCTTCACAGTCATAAGAAAGTATGGCCGTCAAAAGAAAGTGCATTAAGACAGTATAACACTATCTGAATTGTAGAAGAAGAAGAAGAAGAAGCACAAAATGCAAATACAAGTATCTAAAAATTGCCACTCCTGTACGTTTACTTTGTTTCATTCCAAAAAGTATTTAAATACAGGACTCAGCAGTGGGTTGCGGATGTGTGCCTGGGGGAAAAAGTACACGTTGTGGCTACAGTTGCAGGGTAGTTTATTCACACTCCAACACAGAAGGTGGCAGTAATGCACCGCAACACTTGTTGCCACTCAAAATTAAAATATAAAAAAGAAGGGAAAGGCCCTGTTTAAAATGTACCGTTTTTTATTTTGTGATTTTGAAATCCAGTGATGTTTTTGATCTACCTTGGGTCCAAATTGCACAAATGTTCATTCAAGTTTTCAGAATGTTTTTGAGAGATTTGTCATTAAAGAGGTGGTGTTGGGTCCTGAGGTTTGATCATTTGAGAAACTCTGTTTTACATCATCATTCTTCCAATTGACTAAAGACAGGGATGTGGGACGCCACAAAGAGATCCAAGAAACAGAAGGCAGGTGTAAGTCATCTACAAATGAAACACATTCAAGCAATAAAACATTGTCTTCCTTTTTCACCCCTCCGTTTACCCTCAGCAGAGAATCAGTGTCATGAAAAGTTTCATGTGTCCTGTTTGGCTCTGCAAGAAGAAGAGATGGACGTTGAAGCCAGTCATGAAAGAAACCGTGTCGCTCTCAGGTATGGCAAGACATCATTTTTCAAGTGACTCGGACAGTGAGTGACAACGTTAAAAGATTTCACCTTTGCAAACATACAATTAAGTTGTATCAGAATTATATGTGCATCCGTTTCAGACAACATCCAGGCCTAAAGAAACAATTAAGAGAAAATGTACTTATTTCCTCTCTTGTTGAGAAGCTTTAAACCACTTTGGGTAAAAAAATAGTCTGATGAAGAAGAATTTTGTTTTTCAATTACTGATGAAACCCAAAAGATTTAACATGTAATTGACTAAGTTTCAGAAATGCTGCTCAGCGAAATTGGTAACTACTAAACAGAGGCATGCTAGCAGTTTGTCTCTGCTTCCAGTCTTAGTGCTCAGCTAGGCCAACTGGCTGCTGCTTCATTCTAATTTTGTAGACAAAAGCACTTTTAATATTCTCCTCTAATGTTCATTAAGAGAGTGAAAAGCATGTTTCTCAACATTTTGAACTGTTGATTTTCAATGAGAAATTACAGACTGCCTCCAATGTTAATTTGTCAAGCTTCATTAGGTGGGGCTCTAGTTTCTGAGGGTAAATCCAAATCTATCTGTTCTATAAATTCCTGTAAAACAAACTAAGCGAGGTCACACCAATATCCAGAAAACAGTAGGTCAGAACAGGATGGTTTCTTTTTCTAACTGTAGAAGTGTCCAAGAGCAGTGTGAGGTTTTAATCAAACCCAGGGAGACCAGGAGGAGAAACAATTATTATCATATCTCTGGTAGTTCAAATATTCATAGAGCATTTCTATGTACACACCAATAGACTTTATTTATACACAGCTGATAAACACATCTGGGAGACAAACTGGAAAAATATGAACATATTCATCAGCTTTCTAACTCTCCATCTGCAGCAAAACTGTCCCCAGGACTTCTCGGAATCCGAGACAGAGCCAACGCTTCACCCAAAGGAGTTATTTAGGAATATTTATGGAGTCTATTTAGTCTTAATACAATATCAGACACCGAGAAACACCCACAGTCATTTCAGTAGTCATTCATCTTGGTTCAAAGGCAGATACCGGTGTTTTTTTTTGTTAGTCCTTTCAACCTACAAAGCCTCCTTCATGTTTGTCAGTTCACCTCCATTCTTTTTGTTTCTCGTCTACTGTGACGGCGAGAATGTCAGGATCATCCACCCGATCACAAAGTAGAAGAGGAACACCGGGTACACCACCAACGCCTTGCGGTTTGGCGGCTGGCTGTCAGCGAGGAATGCCGTGGAGGCAAAGGTGGACCAGCCGAAGGACGCCGTCACCACCACGAGCCGCACGGCGAAGCTGACCGTCCCCGTGCCACCGACCAGGACGATCCTGCACACCGCCATGGCTGCTGTCAGAGGCATGATGCAGTATCCCAACACACACAGACTCTGGAAGAAGGATATGGTGCCTCCCAGAAGCTTGGAGTTGAGGGTGATGATAATGGAACCGAACCAGATGATTACGAAGACCTGGAAAACAAAATATACATTTTTGGTGAGGATGCATAGGAGAGATTATTTCATATGAGCAAATATTAACTACATAAATATTAGCAACCAAGGTAGACTAATCTTCAGACAGGATTCTGACACGGATACAAGCTTGTGACACAAGATCTAAGAAGATTAATCAACGTAATGCAGGTTAACAACAGTTAGAAAGTTAAAAAATGAAGCAAAAACGTGTTTAGTTTCTTAATTTGCTTATTTTAGTTTATTTAGTGAAAAAGCTCATTTAAAAAATACTTGGCTCATTGAGCGCCTAAATATTTTGAGACCCATTCAAGTTATCATAGGTACGTTTTCTCTGATGAGATTTGCAATTAAACAATGTATTTATATTCCCAATGAAACGACCACAATGTAACCTTTGTAGGTAATAAAAGATAAAAAAGTGTGCAAAGGAGATTAATATGGGTATGCAGGTTTTGTCTGCGTACATTTGTTCGCAAAGATTTAGATCGTCATATTAAAATAAATACCATAAGTAATAATATCATCAGGCACAGTGAATGTTTAGATCACAGGGTCATTGTACTGCGTTTCTTCCCGATACTGCGGGACAGCTGATTGTGTCAGTAGTCACCTCTTTTGATTTGTTTTCAGACTTGTCTGTACCACTCTGTTTTTGCACATTTACATTTAATCTTTCATATTTAATTTACAACTGTTTTTGCACATTTACATTTAATCTTTCATATTTAATTTACAACTCTGTTTTTGCACATTTACATTTAATCTTTCATATTTAATTTACAACTGTTTTTGCACATTTACATTTAATCTTTCATATTTAATTTACAACTCTGTTTTTGCACATTTACATTTAATCTTTCATATTTAATTTACAACTGTTTTTGCACATTTACATTTAATCTTTCATATTTAATTTACAACCATTTATGTCTCTGTTTTTTGCACATTTAAATCCAATCTTCCATATTTAATCTTCCTATTTAAGACTAGTAATGCTAAGTTAAATCCTGGTTGTATATATTCACATTCTTAGTTTTGATATTTTTTTAGTACTTATTTACTTTGTATTTAATATTATATTGTGTTTAGATTTGCTAACATTGTGTTTTTTTTACTCATATTGTGTGTTTGGACAACCTGCTGCTGTAACGCCACAATTTCCCAGTTTGGGATCAATAAAGTTATTTTATTTTATTCTATTATTGTCGCTGAGTTGAAAGTTTGGAACATACTCGTACGTGACATAACACAACACACAAATTATTTAAAAAAAAAAGTATGAAAGTGATTACTTCAGCGAACTGAGGTCCTCCCTGGTCGTCGCTGTCAGCGGCGCCTCCCTGCAGCAGCAGAGCCAGCGTCACGCAGAGCAGCAGCGGGCCCCACAGGTCCCAGTCCCGCAGCAGAGCCGAGCTCCGCTTCGGGTACAGGACGTGGATGAACTTGTTCCCCACCGCCCTCAGGTCCCGCAGAATAGTCTCCTTCACCGGCTCGTCCAGCGTGGAGAACTCGTCGTCCCGCCGGGAGGAGCTCATGGGCACAGAGATGTCCCCCTCCACGGGGATGTCCTCCGAGATGGAGACGTCCGACAGCCCGGCGAAGGGTCTGCTGGCCTCCTCTGCTGACGCCATTTTACTTCAGCGTTTTAACGAGGATTGGATTTTTTTAGTGAGTTTTTTAGACGACAACAATTGAGTCCATTTGATAAACTGAGAAGTCAGAAAGCGACTGAAACGACAAATGTCCCAGTAAACCCGTGAATTCAGCTCCAGCTGACACAGCCTGTCCGGTTGGTTGTGAAAGACTTTACTCCACGTCACCTGCGGATTGTTTACTTCCGTGGGACGTCATGGATATCCGGTTGGTGCGTTCACGTGCAGTTCTTGATAATCGGCTCATTTTTAACCAGTCCTTTATTTATTTATTTTATTTATTTAACCTTTATTTATCCAGGAAAGTCCCATTGAGATTAAAAACCTCTTTTTCAAGGGAGTCCTGGCCAAGAGGCAGAAAAAGTTACACAGTCACACTCACAACATACAGACAGCAATTACAATTATAAAATAAACAATTAGCAATTAAAATTATTTAAAAAAACAGTTACAAGTAAAGGAGGTTGTCTCAAGTGCTCTCAGCCTGGATTTAAAAGCTGTAAGAAATCAGTTCAGTTATTTTCCAGTCTTTTTGCAGCATGTTCCATGTAGAATAGAGAGAGAGAGAGAGAGAGAGAGAGAGAGAGAGAGAGAGAGAGCATTTTTGTTTTATCTGCTGATGTTACAACACGGCCTCTCAAGTAATGACAGAAACAGTATGAACAGTATTGGTAAAATCTGTTCTGTGATTATCGGCGTGAAACTAAGAGATACGCGTCCACTTCGCTCTGCCAATGAAAGGCATCTGATCCATCCTATCACAACAGGGTCCTAAGTCTCTGACTAGACTCTTCTCCTCTGTCGCCCCCCGGTGGTGGAATGAACTTCCAGTCCCTCTGCACCTTTAAGAAAAAGCTAAAGACCCAGCTCTTTCATGAATACCTACTAACTTAATGATGATGGTCTCGATATCATTGATGATGATGATGATGGTTGTGTAGATTGTTTTTGTTTGATAACGATGACTTATAAGATGGTTTCTATACTGATTAGAGCTCTCAAGAACTGTCGACAATGTTGTGCTTTGCCTCTGGTCACTTCCTGTCAGCACCTGTGCGTCCAATCAGACTCAAAGCTGATCGTTTGTTCCCTTTTTTTCTAGATCTTTGCTTGTGTTGTTCTTACTCTCTGATGTACATCGCTTTGGATAAAAGCGTCTGCTAAGTGAATCGTAGAATTGTACAATATGAATTCCTTTCGTAAACCAGCAGATTCTCAGGAAAGCTGAAAGTATTTTAGTTTATTCTGGGCATATGATTTTAAATGAATTTTCTGTGCTGCCAGGACGTCGTTATGTTTTAAAACTAACACCCATTCTAAACCATTCATTCCCTTTTACAATTTGATGCCCCTTATAGGTTTTATATTTATTTACTGACTTTTTGTCATTTAACTAGCAAAGATCAATTTTATCCTTTTATTTAACTGATTCTTTTATTGCTGAATTCGGTCTGGTATTTTTTTACTCTATTTATGTATTTGCTGTATGCCAAAGCACTTTGTAAACCTGTGTTTTAAAGGTGCTATATAAGTAAAGTTATTAATTGATTTACGAATCAATCTGTGTAACATTGGTATCTTTTTATTGGTCCTATTTAATATTTGCTTTTTTGCTTTTTTTTGTATAATTTCTTGTCTGTACATCACTATGTTTTATATATCGTTTTTTTTTAAAATTTATTTATTTATTTATTTTTATGTACAAGCTGCTCCATACCAATAACCCCAAAGGGGATTAATACAATTGTTTGAATTGAATTAAAAACGGAATTGTTTTGATCAAAACAAAAACATTACAGATTTTTCATCAGGGTTCAGTTTTTAGTTGTGCAAAAGTATATTTTACTAATAAAACTGATTCGAAAACTTTACCATAAGATACTGTGTGTGTGTGTGACTAGCCAATATTACTTTCGTGGACTTTGGTTTACAAACAGTCGCGACGACAGTGAAGGCATCGGCACTGTTTGGGAAATGGTCGGGGACTGATGACGCACTAACCCGGAGACAGTCGAGTTTTGTGTTTACGTTGTGGAGTAACACATGTATTAACACATGTATTAACACTCGGCTTGTATGTAATCGTCGGTAACTTATTTTAAATCAGCAGCGAGATGGATACATTTCGAAAACTGGTGAAAACCGACTGTGATGAGATCCTGAGGCGCTTCAGGAGTACAGAGTCTGTCCGTTTCGAGATATTCTCCAAGATATGGAGGGAAATGAAGTTCTCACAGATTTTCTAGTAGGTTAACCTTTAGAAACATCTTTTTGTTGTCAACTTTCTGATTCCTGCTCATTTTAGGTACAAAATCAAAGCTCATATTGATGATGTCCCATAAATCCTACTTCGTAATTAACTTATTTTATAGCTGCATTGCTTACAAACAACCCTGTTTACGTCTTGTAGTTGTCTGTCCTGTTCTCATTATTATTACACACCAATTTACATATAATTTTCTTTAGTTAATGTTCAGGCTCTAAATGTTAAAGGATCTCTCTTAAGGAGGCAACTTTTCTCTACCAGGGCTGTGTCCAGACTTAGAAAGTGTGACATTTGTGTGATTGATTGATTACATTTCAAACATATCGAAAATACAAAACAAAATGAAAAGCACGAAAATACAATAAACAAAAAAACAGTGTTCAAATTATTTCACAAAAAAAAGAAAATTACATATATTCAATTGATATGCCTGAAAGGAGTAGGAAGAAGTATAACACTTATTTAATCCTACCCCTTTTCCACAGCTCAACAATTAATATTTATTAAATTAACTTCCTGTGTTCCTTATAATCTCTCTCTATATACAATCTATCTACATACAATTTGCTATACTATATTTATGATACTATATCTGATATTTACAATCTAATGATTTTCCATACATATATACAACTTGATATACTATGATTGTTTTTAGAATTTATATATTTATACAATCCATATATCTATATATACATATCTATTTGTACAATGTGATGTCCTATATTTATATATTTATACAACCTTATAACTATACAGTTTGGTACAGTATGTTTACAATTATACATTTGATGCAGTCTATATACATATGTATGTGTGCACACAGACATGAATGAATTTCATTAATTACTCCTTCTGTCTCCACTTGTATCTAATTTTAAGAAACACAACAAAATGGCAATATATAAATAATTTTTGATCAAAATTTAAAGGACTGAAATAGAAAATATTTGTACCAAAGTCACAATTTAAAGTACTTACAAAAATACTACACAGACTGCTGCACAAAAGATAATGAGCAAAAAAATTACAAGAGTCCAAATTCTGTTAGATTCTGTTGGTACTTTAAATAAATGTAAATAAATACTTTGCATAGTATTATCTGACTTATCATAAGATAAGTCAGTAAGACAGGAGTGAGTCCACTCTGTCCTACTTTTAATGCGCTAACTGGCGATGTTTCAATGTTTTTTTGTTCTGCAGCGGCACAGTGAGGCATGAAAAGCGAGAGTTCAGTCGCTTGATTTTGGACACAGCCTACAGCTTCCTCCTGCCTCCGTTCAGCTTCCAGATCAGAGTCGGAGGACTTTACCTGCTGTACAGTTTGTATCGATGTCAGACCGCCTCTCCCCCAGAAGAGGTCAGGATCACTACGAACGCTCCAGTCATGGGTTAAACAAAGTTGTTGGTACAGATAATGTTCACTGAGTTCATGATGAGTTCTTCGTCTGTATCTGGTCACAGATTCGTCTGTCGCTGAAGGACTGGGAGGATGTGAAGAAGTTTGAGAAGGATGCCGTGGATGCGAAACATTTCGACGTCATTTACATTCTCCAACAGCTGATGTTCCTCAAAGCTTTCATTTTCACTGCCATGCCCACACTGGTGAGCTTGAATTTGACCGTAAAGGCCATTTGATGGAGGAACATTATGTTTTATTATAGAGATTCAGTAGCTAAGGCCCTTCACACAGAAATTATATTTAACTTCCTCATTTTATGCCCGAAAAATTAATATGTTGCTTTTTTCTGAGTCTTTTTTTAAATGAAGACCAATCTCCCATGATCCCTCACCACTCAGCATCATCACTCTATGTATTTTCTTATTTTAGAGTCCCCTAGTGGCAGAAATAGCACATAGCAGGATTTTAAACGTGAAAACTGTATAGCAGAGTAGGTGCGATAGTAGATGCCCTTTTTATCCACACGAGAAAGCTACACCACCACAATAATGATACAATGCGCACAAATCATACATAAGGTACACACGTTGAATTAATAAAGCTTGAAAATGTATAACAACAATCTATAAAAACATAAATAAAGGACAACGTGTACTCTGTAGAAAGCAGGTTTATTGTTTACTTCACTTTATAATTACTTCTGTACTTGAAACAAAACACAGTCAGTCTAATCTTTTAGATGAAAAAAATACTCGCTGACTGAGATGGCCAAACTTATTCTGAGAAATTAATCTATTTTCAATATGTAACACATTATACTTGTAAATTCATATCCCCCCCCCTCTCTATTTTCTTTGGCTTCTCTGGTGTCTCCTTTTTCCTCCTCTTTTCCTCTGACCAGCTTACCTTCCATAAGAAGAGGAAGATGGAGAAGGATCCATTGTATGAGGAGTTCATGGAGCGAGCGTCTCGTCCACAGGAGCTCATCAACATTGAGAGGGTGGAGGTGAGCAGCGATCCTGCTTGAGTCAAGTACTGTAAATATATCTGTCTTCAAAGTGCGTTTTGAAACGGGGAAATTTAGTTCAAGTACGCTGCTCCTGCGGCTTGTAATCTGTAGACTGCATATTGCGTTGACTAATGACTTTTCAGCTCTGTGACTCAGGATATGTTGATCTGTGTGTTTAATTTGTGTTTTCTGTCTGTTACTTGTTTAATTGTGTGCTGGTTCCTGTCTTGGCAAGGACACTCTTGTAAAGGACATTCTTTATCTCAATGAGGTTCTCCTGGTTAGATAAATATTAAACAAGTTTTAAGAAGTGAAATTGTGCCATGTGTCTTTGGTAGGAATTGTCCAACGTTCACAGTCTGTACGAGAAGCTGAAGACGTCTGCCTCTTTGACGTCAGGAGATGCAGCCTCGTCTCTTAACCTGATCCATAAAGATCTGGTCTCTAAACTACAAACCACTGTGGTGGACTTCTACAAATGGCAGCAAAAAAAGGTGAGACTTCTCAACAAATGGAGCGTTGTTACAGTAAGGAAATTCAGGCTTTAGTTACTTTGTAAACTACAATAAATATTAGGGTTATTTTAATGCATTATAGATGTATTTTCCTTTTATTCATTCTAGTCCTTTTCTTCAATATTTCTATAATGACATGATGATTGTCTTTCAGGTGAAGACCTGCGAAGAGGATGACAGCGGCGAGGGAACATCATCACAACAGGAGGTGAGTTTCACAGCGGTGGAAGGTGACATTTATAGGTACTTTACTTGAGTATTGTGTTTTCATGGCATTTTATACTGACGTCACATTCATCCATATTTCATCTCACTACGCTGACAGCTTTACTTTCTTTAAAGACACTTTTTTTTTTTTTTGCATTAAAAAAATCATAGAAATGAGGCAAAGATAGCCTCGCAATTAGGTCGCACCCCATGTACGGAGGTTACAGTCCTCAAAGCGGGCGGCTCGGGTTCAAGTCCCACCTGTGGCTCCTTTGCCGCATGTCATTCCCCAATCCCTCTCTCGACTATTTCCTACTTTACTCATATCAAATTAAGGGAATTAAAAGCCACAAAACAAATCTCTGAATTAAATAATAAATAACATATAAAATGATGTGATTGTTATTGATTAAATTACATATCCACTTATACACTTATATGTAAATCAGATCAGTTGATTCATCACTTTCTTTTGATAACCATAAGCGTGATCCTCCATGCAAAGACATTTCATGGCTCCATCTTCACAAATGTGAGGATGAGCTGCTTTTTCCTTAAAGTTTTTAAAACATTTTCTTCAGTAATTTTTAGGTTTGTTTAAAACAAGCATTTTCTCGGTCTCACTTTGTGCTCTTGGTAATTGTGACAGACTTCCTCACCATTTTCTCAATGTTTGAAGTGTAACTGGGGATTAAACACCAGTAGTCCTAACACAATATGACTTATAGTCCTTCAGCTGTGCATTTTAAATATTGACTTTGTATGTAAAGTTTGCTCACCTCCTGTTTTGTGTCCTCAGTGCTCAAAAAGAGCCATGCACCTCGCCTTAATCAAATCAAAGGCGTACGGGGAAGCAGCAGAGGTTTGTATTATGTTTATTTAAAATGTAAACTTCACCTTTTAAAAAAAAAAAAAAAGTTATTTGGTCAGTGTTAATCTTTTCAAATCATCAATTAAATCATATTAAATGTGCATGTACGTGTTCCAGACCTCCAAGTCACGGCGCCATCGTCAAGTGGAGGTGAATTTCACGAGCAGCGAGGCTGGACCCTCCGAGCCGTCAGGACACTCCAGAACAAATAAACCGTCTCTGAAAAGCAGAACGAAAAAGAACGTACACATCTCCGGTAAAATCCTCACAAATCTCTCTTTTAATACTTAGAACTAACAAATGCAATTCATTAGCACTTCTGGATAATAGTCCACATCTACTGTAGGCGACTTCTGTTACAACTATATTTCGCTCCAATGCTTTTGTGGAATGATGATCAAGAAAATCAAACTGAACTTTCCTCTCAGGTGATCTGGGGAAAGAAGCCACATTGATCAATCGTCTCACCACAGTGGACTTTACTCCTGAAGGTACACAACCGTCAGCTTATCATCATCTTATCATCTGAAAACCTCTTACACTCTTCTACTTGGTGCGTTAAGTTGTGCACCGGTTGTTTCCACTGTGGTTTAAAGGCATTGATTGAATTTCTGGTGTATTCTTTCTCCTCCACTCAGAAATAACAAAGAAGAAAGAAAAATTAGGACAGAAAAAAAAAAGAAAGAAGTAAACCGAAGTCAAGTGAAGAAGAAAACTCAGGAGTCAACCGAGCTGAATCTGCTGTTTAAGAGTTTGAAGTTTGTTTTAAAGTGTTGATGTCTTTTTTGCTTTGTAATTACAGTTCTTTTATCTATAACTTCACTGCATTGTACAACATGTGAATATTTTAAATTCTTTTTTTTTTTTTTAACAAGTGGAGTTTTTTAAACATGCACAATTTTAAATGTTAATAATGTTGTCACTCTGCTTTTGCTCTTAAATGTTAAATAAGCATAGCCCATTCTCATTCATTGAACATGAACACAGCCCCTCACCCACAAAGGCAGACAAATGTTACTGTTTGTCTTTTACAGCTGAAGTATTGGAGTCTTTGTTCTCCGACTTGCGCACCTTTTGATAGTGTAGAATATAAAAGTTGGAAATGACTACAAACATTTTCTTTGCAAAAGTTCTGTTTTATAAAGCTTTGCTGTTTTAAATAAAGCTGTTTTATAAGGATGCACATTTCAACATGCCAATTTTCTTGTGAAATATGTGATTCAGACTGAATAATTTGCATATTAAAACTGACTGGATTTGTCCGGAGAGTTGATTTTGTCAAATATAGTACCGTTTATGTGGGATAAATTGGAAAGATGTTTATAATTTATTTAGGAATCAAGGGAAACAGCTGGAATTGAAAGGTAAGCAAGTAGTTAATTTTTATTTAATACAATTGTCAAGAATATTTTGATACTTTGATCCGACATTAGAAAGTGATTAATAATAACCTCATCAGTTGTTGGTTTAATGGAATTTGACAAGATTTAATCGTTAGTTATTGTTCTTGTTGTTTTAGCCCGAGCTGATGGACTTAAGACAGGTTCAAAGACATACTGTAGGGCTGCGTGCTTGAATGTAAATGTTATTACTATTGGCTATTTAGTAAATAATGAAAAATAATTGAGAGAATAAGTAGTTGTAATAATAAGTTCAACCGGTAATCACATTTTGAAGACCTAAATGGCTCATATGCGATTTAAGAGATGAGTGTAAACCAACAGGAATGTACATTCTTCCTATAGTACCTGAAGGCGCCATCGTTCACCGCTCTGTGTGGATGCAGATTTGCGGCTCCGGAGGATGAGGAGCGGCGGGGACGCTGCTACCTCTGCTCCGCCGATTATAGACTCGTTCCCGCTGTCAGTGTGAGGAAACATCCGCAGCCATGGCATCAGACAGTAAGTGCGACCGCCCACTCACCTTGTGACCGCATCTTATGTGGATTTATATTGTCTCAGAGCTAGTGATGGATGCACTGGTTGTCTTTTTTTTTTTTTGGGGGGGGGTTGGTTGACTGAAAGCGATAGGATGCGTAGGCCAATGTATTCCCTTTTACCCATTTCTGTTTCTTTTCTACATTTTAAGCCATACAGTTTATATTTGAGGGACTAGATAAGCTGACAAATAAATGATTATGATATTCCACAAGTAGGCCTATTCCTGCGCAAAGTGTGCTGTATTTAGGATGGCTACTCACTGGAGAGTTGATAGTTGCCTCATCATGGCCACTTCATGGAAGGCTATTTTTATATCTCCTGCACTGAATCATATCATATTCGTTTACAGGATCGATTTTTATTGAAATCATCACAGTGGTGATGATAACACTACATCTTTTTGTTTCATGATATAGTAATATCTACTGATGGCATGATGATTTAAAAGAGATTCATTTTGTGTGATTTACTTCTCTGCAGTAAGTTATTGGGAATTATTTTGAACCCATCATGTTTGATGGATTCAGAAGTAGGCCTATACTGATACACTGATATGGGATATTAGAGACGGGTGTCTTTAGAGGGAAAAATTCACCATGTTGAGATGACTATGCTCAGGTACGCAGAAGACTGCTTTATTTATTTAAATATTTAACATAATTTTATAAACAAAGACAAATGACACCATTTTATAAATAGCAAGCATTTTCCCTTGCTTTAAAGTCACTGTTCAAACGTTTTTTTCAAATTGGGGGTTTAATATTTTAACATGCCGGTGCTGAGATATCTGTGATAGGCCCTTATCAAAGAATAATATTGTCCAAATGACATATCACTCGAGAACTACTAAAAAGACATATGAAATGTAATGCAAAGAGTGTCAAGGTTTTCAAAAGTTTAAACAGAGTTCGCAAATAAGAATTCTGTACACATGATAAGAAGCTATAATGTCGTCTGCATACAATGACATTTTATTTTCACAAATCCCAAGACCATTAAATCAATAATACACTGATTGACGTCTCTGTTTTAGCTCTTTTTGATTCAGAAAAATAATATATTTTATTCTTATATAATATGATATATATTTAGGTTATTTAATTATGTTTATTATCCAACTACTAGTACAATCCCACATTGAATAAGGATTGAGAAAATCTTTGAATAACCTGGGCTGAAAAAAAGACATGTAACAAAATATGGTGCAGACTCAGAAAAGTTTCAAACAATGTTGATTTTTGATCCACTCTTTACTTTTTATCATCGCACCTTATTTGCACAAGTTATGTCACATTCTCTCTATATATATCCAGTTTTTAACACAAAACACACAAAAAGTCAATACAGTGCACTTTCCCTGCTTTCTCTCAGTCTCAGTAGACTCCAAATAACACAATGAGATTAAGGATGAAATACTGAAGGGTTCATAGTGAAACTGTCTTAATGTTACTATGGAGATTATGTTCAAACAAACTCTTCTAACTAATCCAAAAACACACATGAAGTCGGTGATGTCACAGCCCAAAACAGTAGACCAGTTATCCCCTCCCTTTGTTTATCTACCACAAGATGAACACTTTGTCCCTTCTGACTCAACACCTTCTGCTGGATGTTGATCACTTGTAATGATACTTGAACTTTTTTAATCGGTCTCCTGTGAGGATACAGGGTGTAATCTTATTTTCTAAAATGATTTAACAACAAGAGGTTTGCTTTGCCGTGTTGTACTCGTTCCTGTTGGATCTTTTACCCTCTTCCTTTGAAATGCAGAGTCTCTCCTGAATGGATGCCCTCTAAAGGGGTCATCAGTAAGTTTCTTTTACTCCTTCTTCTAATCCAAAAAGTTTTCTGACATATTTTTAATTTGCAGTTATTATTGTAAAATTCTTAAATGATCAACATTTACTTAAGTGATTTCTATTTTAGAGTATAACTTTAAATTGTGGGTCTTCAGATGAATCATTCATGAAACAATCTGTTCATTGAACCAGGACCACAAAGTAAAGCAGAAGTCAACTGTCCCAGCATGGCTCTAAAAACCATGGCATGTGGGAAAGTTACTAGTACTAGTATCCAAAGTAAGTTATTGATCTAAAGGATAAAATTGTAATGTGAAGACATACGATGTCTATGTGAGTGGTGTGCATGGGTGTGAAAGTTGTAAAATACTTAAAATAAAGAAGGAGGAACTAACGTCGTCACATAGCCAGAGGACCGCCTGCAGGGGAATTCAATTCAATTCAATTCAATTTATTTTGTATAGCGTCAACTCATAACAAGTGTTATCTCAAGACACTTTACAAAAAGCAGGTAAAATACCTTACTCTTTGTCTGTTAACATTACAAAAGAGCAGGTAAAAAGACCTTACTCATTGTTATGTTACAAAAAGCAGGTAAAATACCTTACTTATTACTATGTTACAAAGATCCGGCCTATCCATCATGAGCACTTTAGCAAAGCAGCAAAAGTTACAGTGGTAAGAAAAAAAAACTGCCTTATTAAAAGGCAGAAATCTTCTGGGGTGGGGTTGTTCTGGGAAGAGAGAGAGTTAAGGACAAACAGAAGCTAGATTATATTGAGTTGGGACAAAGGGCTCTGGTGTAACCAGAAGTCATCAGGGTCTCTAAACTCAACCATTCCAAGGACCCCCATATAGCATTGGCCTCTATCAGGGACCCCCCTCTTGCAAAATGTCTTAAATCCTGATTGCAAATATCAAAAATGAAACATACAACTTCTTAATATCTGGATTCTGGACGATCTTGAGGTAGAGAACACATTTGGGCACATTACCGCATTCTTCTTTGCTGCAGTAAAACATGCTTCATGCTGGCTTCATGTTCAACCTGCTCGCCTAGTTGCGTTGTCCTCATAGCTGCTGAATTTGGACTCTACCACATTTTTTACATAACCTCTGAATTTGCTCCTCTCAGGGTGTTAAGAGTGTTGTCATGAAGACAGATATGTAGAACAGCATCAAATAAAGTCCTCGTTGAGCTCCATTAAACAGTAGGAATCAGTCGGCTGTGTGTGTGTGTGTGTGTGTGTGTGTGTGTGTTTGTGTGTGTGTGTTTGTGTGATTCTCTCTCTGTTTATTATGGCCTAGATACAGACTGCTTCTATGTCTTATTCATGGCGCTCTCTCTCCTCCTCTCTCTGGGATGGCGGGCTGAGAGAGGAGAGCTTTCTCAATCGGGACTCGTGAGAAATATTGAATGCTTCTTCGTCTGTATCATTGATACAAGATGATGACTGAGATTGAACCATCATGATATCAATGTCCCAGTGTACGAGCACTGGGGCCTTCTGATGAAACTATGCACCTCTCACTTTTCTCTCACGGCTGGTTATAGTCGAGGCTTCTCAGGGGGGTTGATTTTCAAAATTGGTTGAGGTATATTTACAGTGTGTGAAGTTAATCAGCCGCAGTCAAACTTGTCCACAGGAGCCATTAACACTCCAGGAGGTGCTGAAAAACACTAAACCCTGACACATAACATCTCTGTGTTAGCAAACAACTGCCAGAGCAGAGCAAAACACATCAATTTAGAATAAAGAGTTTTATCTATCTGATGAATACATGTAATGTGTAGTAACCGTCATGTCGCTCTGTCATGGCGATCATTACAACTATAAAATTAAGGATTTCTCTGGTTTTGATAACTGTTGGAAATATTTGAGGTAATATAAGAACTCAAGAAAAAAAAGGAAAAATAACATACATAGGTTTAGTCAATTTCTAATTAGTTTAGATTATTCAATGTAAATATTCTAATAGAGTTCTACATATATTATTATACATTAAGCAGCTAGATAGGTTTGTCAGGAGTTGACAAAGACCAAAAAACGAGCTAAAAGAAATTGAAACCATGTTCAACAGGTGGCCAGAATTTATTTTTAATATTGCTCTGTATCTGCTGGATGTGTAAATAAGCAAATGGTGGCTAACAAATTAGCCTCACCAACTTAAATGTGATGAAATGTCAGTGTTGTTTTTCCACCTTGTTTATGCTTCCCCCCCAAGTGGCAAAAATTAAAAACCACATTCAACCATGAAGATAGATAGCAAAAGAGAAGCGCCAAACATTTGTTCTCAACAGGAACTTGTCTTTTTAATCCCTTTGCTCAGTATTTGCACACATGCTGGTGGTTTGGAAGCAGTGGCACCTGTGTGTAGACTCAGATCTTGAAATAAAATGACATTTCAGCACATTGCTAGTGTTGCTATGGTGGCCCCCGAAAGTCAACTAAAAAAATATTTCATGAATTGCAAAAACATTTTTAAAAAAGTTTGCATTTGCTTTTCACATTTTTTATTGTTTAAGGAAAAAAAAAAGTTTTGCGTTCAACAAAATATTTATTTAAATGTTTGTGTTTTATCAAAAGTTTTAAATATTTTATACTAATATTTTTTGCATTTTGTGATATGTTTTGAGTTTTCGTGAAATGTTTTTTTGCAGCTGACCTTCAGGGCCACCGTAGTCTCGGCCTTTACCTGAATGCTAAAATCTTTGCTTACTGTCTTTATTACATATATTTCTATTATTATATATATATATAGGGATATATTCCTGGAATTAAGACATGTATTGGACTGTTTCCTCACCTTGGTTAAAGCTCTTTCTTGTTAAGTTTCCAAGCCTTCATCCAAAAATGGACTTGATTTTGGGCATATGATTGTAATAAATCGGTCACCTTTGAACTGGTCCGTCGATAGTTTCTGAGAACTTGACTAAGTTTACTTTTTGTTAAGGTAAAAAATAAACTATCAAGCTTAAATTTAAGATGCTCAGATAACACAATTCTTTTAGATTCTGGTTTTGAAAACAAAGACATCATTATAGCAGTTGTGTTTCTCATTGTCCCAAACTGGACATTTTGAAGGGTCAGTTTCTCCCCTTCCTCTGCGTTGTTGTGTCTTGGTGGTGTTCAGGAAGAGACATCCGCCTCGCCCAGTGGG